AATAATTCAAAGTTTTCCCAGATGCATTTTTGTGTCAAAATAATTTTGTTTCCATTGATTTTTAATCATATCCATTCATTTATTAATATATATGTAGCATACCTACTCATGATATTTTTTACATATTTTCTGTAGTATAACATGTATCTAACACAAGCTATTAGTAAAAAATTATTGTATGTCTATATGATGAAAAATAAGGAGATAAATTTCTCAAGATTAAATATTGGTAAAGAATAGCACAAAACAAAATTAGTGAGTACCAATGAAGAAATACGTTTTGTCAAATTCATTTATGATAGAAATTATCGGTGATTTCTTTATATTTTTAAATAAAATAGCTTACAATTATTTACATGTTTATATAAATAAGCGATTCTTACAAACAGTTTAATAAGATCAATTTCAATAAGAACGTTGAACCAGGGAACTTGAGTAAGGTAAAAGTAAATGTAAGTATATAAATGTATTAGAAAATGCAAATAAGTATTAAAATATATGTATGTACCGATTGAGGGTCTTGCGATCACGCAAGGTAGTGATGTCGAATAATCGCCTATCACTTTTTCGGCCAGTATCTTACTTAAGAGATAGTTTGGTACATTTTTCATGTATCTGTAAATGAAATAATTTTATTTTTAAACTGATAATGTGTTACATTCCCTATTCACCGTTCATTTTTCAACTTACTTTGCTGTTAATATTTGGAGAAGATGCTTGTCGCAGGACTCTGCGATTTTAATTGTTTTCTTCCAATCGATTTCCGAGGGATATAATATCTCCTCCACTACAGGTTTATCACATTGGGTAAAGACCGTACTAACGTACAGTAAAACCTTATACCATTGACACAAATCAAATATTAGGATTTTATTTACTTTGAGACTTTCTTTAAAATAACAGACACGTTTTAATTTTGTACGCTATTTGGTTATTTCTATGTATATAAGTACAATTTTCGTACTGCATTTTACCGATAAATTAAAATAAATTTCTTTTTAGAGTAAAAAGATTACCTTACTTTACTTTTTTACATAGGCTAAGTGAGGTAATTATACAAATTATTATATTTCTTTTGATCTTATTATTTTATAAAATTTATACATATGTACATAAGTATATATATATATATATA